CATTGAGATAAAGGATGGACTCAGACAAGGAGATGCTCTGGCTTGCCTCCTATTTAATATTGCCTTAGAAAAGGCAGTCCGAGATACACGAATTAGGGATGGCGGTACTATTTACAATAGATCGATACAAGTCTTAGAATATGCTGATGACATTGACATAGTAGGGCGTAGCAAGCGAGATGTTAAGCAATATCTCCTAGAATTGGAAACAGCGGCGAAACAGGTCGGTCTAGTCATCAACGAAGACAAAACCAAGTACATGTTGGTTAAAAAGGATCCGATAGCAAATGAGGAACGAGAAACAGTCTTTGGAAGTCATACCTTTGGACGTGTTGACAATTTCAGATACCTTGGGTCGCTATTGACTGCTACCAATAAAACAAGCGAAGAGATTAAAAGACGAATAAATCTTACAAATAGGGCATACTATGGACTCCAAAAGCATTTCCACTCAAGAAACATTCAAAGAAAAACTAAAATTATTATACACAAAACATTGCTGAGGCCGGTCCTCACATATGGAGCAGAAACATGGACTCTAACGCAGAAAGATGAAAGACTTTTGGGAATATTTGAGCGTAAAATACTCCGCAAAATATTTGGAGCTGTAAACGACCAAGGGCAGTGGCGCAGAAGATATAATTTTGAATCGTATCAGCTCTTTGATGAGCCAGATGTCATAACGTTCATTAAAACACAGCGACTTAGATGGGCTGAACACATAATACGAATGCCAGAAAATACCATTGCTAAAAAGCTAACCCCAGGAACACGAGTAGGAAAAAGAAGCAAAGGCCGACCGCGAATTAGGTGGTTAGATGGAGTAAAAACCGACTTACGAATATTAAAAATTAGAAGATGGCAACATGTTGCCAAAAACCGAACAGAATGGCGACGAATCTTAGAGCAGGCCAAGATCCACAGAGGATTGTCGAGCCAAAGATGATGATGATGAACATACACAAGAATTCATTTTATTTACATTAAATAGATGTATATAAACATAAATCTTTAAAATAATTTATTACATGGTCAGTGTTTATGTGGTTAATGTGGTTTTGATGTCATCAGAGATTCCATATTTTCTTCTTGCTTCTTCGTGGTACTGGCAGTCAATCAGAATATGCTTCACCGTCAATGGGAGTGTTAAATCTTTTTTGTCAATATATATTTATTAAAAATAGTTAGAAAAATTACAGCTATTGGACAGTTTATTTAGTTACAGGACACTCAAAATTAGTTATTGGACAACTGCTTTAACACAATAAAAACTAGAAACAAATGAAAATTACAAGCAAACCCAAAGATTTCTGTACGGTATGGGGTACCTATATAGAGGTGACACAATTAAATTTTATAATTGCTTCTGTGCTTCTTTGTATTGAGTGAAAAGTTCGTCAATGTCTTCATCCTCACTGTCTTGGTTACTGTTGTTAGCATCGGAATCATTACCCTGCAGATTGAAGGAATTGTGACATATAAATAGATCACCATTGTTAGGTATATGCTGTCTATGCTAAACAGGAATACAACATTCTTGATAATAAAGACTACAGTCATCGCATTTAATTTATTCGATTGAATATCATTTTAACAAATAGAACATTTGACCTTTTTTAAATTCTTTTTATTGCTACACTAGTTTTTGGTTAATTTTTCTTCTCTTTTCCGTTTCCTTTCTTTTTTTTGTTTTTCCTGCTCTTCTTTTAACTCGTCCTTGTTTTGTAACATTACTTGATATCGTGCAGATGTGATAGCAAAAGGCAGTAATTCCGTTTTAAGTTTATTTTTTCTTTTCGGTACAGTAGGAGAAGTTAAAAAAATGCCCAACAATTCGTGTTTAACAATAATTTTACTTGTAGAGAGTAATTCATAAACATTAGTTTTATATTGTTGAATGTGGATATCATTGGTATTACAACTCTCAGAAATATTTACATTTTCAATACCACTTTGTTCTGATGTTTTTATTTCAGTATTGATGTGATAGGTATATTTTGAATAATATAAATGTTTGTGTCTCTATTTTTTAGAACCATTATATATATATATATATATATATATATATATATATATATATATATATATATATATATAATATATTGTGGCTAAACACCCCACACGGGGTTACTCCGCTTAAGCTCTCTATGTTACGAGGTAGATCTATGTTACGAGGTAGATCAGTCCTCATTTGCTTTATTTAATTTTTTCTGTTATTTTTCTCCACTGTTTCCTATCTCTGGTTTTTTCTCTCCATTGCCGTACGCCCGCCTTGTTGAGATCATTTGTTACTTCTTGTAGCCATGTAGATCTTGGTCTTCCACGTCTTCTTTTACCACTTTTAGAACCATTGGGTTATCCAAATGTTTTGAATCATGTTCAAAAAAATTCCAAATTTTGAACAACAAATTCAAGTTATTGTCGCTAGGTAGATTATTTTTTTGGATTTTCTTTTAAATTCTCTAGGCTATGAACTTTTTCAGGACCTAAGATATTTACAAAAATATTATAGTTAATTTTGGGTTTCTTTTGATGATCTGAAATGATTAAATTTTTTACTACTTCTTTACCTAAACATTTTGTATAGTCAATACCATCTGCCTTAAATGGAAACAATCCGCAAACTTTGAAACCATTTACTACTGTTTCAGTTTTCCAGTTTTTTTGCAGCTTGCTCCAATATAGAAGCAAATACAACCTTATTCACTACCCTTCCTAGATGCTGTTCTTCCCATTCTCTCACTGACTGCCGTCAAGCTTCTTTTACTGGACGGAAAATAGAAACGTCACATGGTTGTAAAATCCTTGTGGCGTTAGGATAAGGTGCAATTACTTCAATCTGCAGTTCATTACACAATAGACTTAATTGGTAACTTAAGTGACTCTTGTGCCCATCTACAAAAAGGATAACTGGAAGCTTAATATTATTCTCAATTAGGTGGGGGTAAAAAACATTCGAAATATACTGATAGAATGTATCTGTCGTCATCCAACCATTATCGCTTCTGTCCACATCCCATTTAGGATTAATGCCTCTAGCAACTTTTTCTGGAATACGTTAATAAGAATAAATAACCATAGGCACGCAAATTTTACCGTCTGCTGAAAACGTAAACATCACAGTGACATTTTCTTTTGAACAGCTTTTTTTAACATTATAAACATTTTTTAAACCTTTAAAGTCGCTCCTTTCATAATTGATGGGTATAGAGCAAGATGTCATTACATTACCCTAAGTGATTACCAGTGTAATTAATTGTGAGATTAAATTCGATTTTACCCCTTTGTTCATAAAACAAGCAGTGTATTTCGAAGTAGCCAAAAATCTTAATCTTAAAAATTTCTTTCTACCACACTGATCATATTAGATAAACATTATGAATGTGATGTACATTGCATGAAAGAATTTCATAATTACATTTTGGATGAGTGTATGGCAAATAATTATCAGGATTAATGTTCGTTTATTATTATTTTAGATAAGTAGTAGTCATTATCTTATAAAGTACATTTGGTATACCTGGTTTATTTGTTCTTTAGAAATTTGAATATACAGATTGTCAGGTTTAATATTTGCTCCTGATATTTGTTTAAATAAGTTCAATAATATCTTCCTACACTTTTGCAATGATATATTCTTCATACATTCGGTCAACTGGTATATTTTTTCAAGTGTTCATGCCAAGTGGTTTTTTTTTAATGTGAGATGATTATTTTTGCTGTCTATAAATATGTGATGAGAATCTAGGCCATATTCCAATCTTTTTTCTAAAATTTGTCTCAGGGTTGCAATCTGAAAGATTATGCATTTACCACCTCTGAGATCAGCCTGGTATTTTATTATTATTTGTTCTGCATATGGTGGCATAGTGTAGTAGAGAATATTTTATACGCTGCATTTAAAAGCGTAATTCCTCTGTGGTTAGAACATTTAAAGATATCTCCTTTTGTGTATGATGCATAGTATTCTGATATTCCAATCACTGGGGAGAGATTTGTGTGTCCATATTTTTTTATGAGCGGCTTTAGTGCCATTATGATATCGTTACCACTTTCTTTATATAGTTTAGATGGGATATTATCTATTCCGAGTAGAATGTTTATTGCTGTTTCTGGCTAGCTTTTTAACTGTCTTTTACTCAAGAATTGTTGGTGGTTCCTCTTCTCTCTCATCGATTCCGCTAACCTTATCTCTTGCGATTTCCAGGTTTTCTCCTTTAGCCTCCATATTAGGTTCCCAGCTAAAATATTCCACTGACCGATTCAATACATCTTTCCTTGTTACTACTAAATTACCATTCGGACTTCTGCATTGGTTTGTAGTTGTCTAATAGAATTATTTTTTATTGATGTTAACTTTCTTTTAAAATGATCTAAATTCTTTCTCTCTGTTAAGGTTTTCTATATAATTAAGTTACTTATCGCTATATGTTATGCTATATAATTGCTATATTATTACTATTTAATATAAGTCTATATTATAAGTCTATATTATATTTAATATAAGTCTATTTTATATAGACATGACAGAGTCATGTCTATATAAAAGAAGAAGAAAGAAGAAGAAAATGAACCTTTAAGGTTGAAGAATAAATAAATAAATAAACTCACCATATATTTTTAAACAATGAGAACAGACACTTTTAATGGCCATTTTGTCATTCCTGGTAGAGGCTCCCCGCGCTTATTCATTAACAAATAAGCATAAAAATTAACCAAACACATTTTAACAAGATAATTCTAATAAAATAAATAACAACACATTTTATATCTCCTTCAAATATAAAAGTTTTGACACACTTTATTCAATTACCTCAATATTTAAAAAAAAAATAGTTTGAAATTACCACAATAATTGCTAAAAAGGTAAATCAAATTACAGCCAAAATAAAATTGCACACTTGTATTTAATATTTCCTAAATAGCAGTAGTAACCTCATTTCAATTCGTTTTAATATCTATATTAAATAATAGTTGTCTAATTGCTTATTTTGTTTCAGAATGAAGCTTTCCTACACACTTGTCGCAATACTTGCGACATGCCTCTTAGTTGTAGACACGAATGGAGAACAAAAGGCAAAAACGAAAAGAGAGAAAAAGTCTAAGAGTAAGTATATAATAGTACAATATATAGTACTACAGTTGTAAATTTAAAACATAATTTTCTTATTCAATTAAATATTAAAATTATAAACACAACAGGACTATATACGCATGAGAAAATTGCAAACTATTAAAGTATAAAGAAGAGTTTTAAGAAAAATACAAACATTAGTGGAAAAGAAGTTTAAATGACACTAGTAAACACACAGTTTGCTGCGGGAAATTTTTTTACTGTTTCTAGGTAATTTTGGTCTGCTGAATCCAAAAATGCCAGCAGATTTGATCCATCAGATCGTTTTCAGAAAATACGACAGAGGATCAATTTTCTAACATATATAGAGTAATTTAAAGCAGCACAACCTACATATATGTAGTGCTTCTACCCATCAAATAAACAAAACAAATAAAAACTAAGATATTTATTGTAGAATATACCTACAAAAATCATCACACATATCTGCCAAAAAAGCACAAATCTGTTATTCGGCGTCACCTAAAAACTTTGTTTTATAGGATTTTCTTGCAAAGGCTTTAAAAGGACGATCCCTTTGAAGACTCAAACAGTAATCCACCATCATGTGAGTATCTCATCTTCCGTGATACTCCTCTTCCATCGTTTTGATATATTGGTGGAAGCGTTTCCCTTGTTCCTCATTAAGGTCACCAAGATTTTCTGGGAAACGGTCTAAGTGGCTGTGGAGGTAATGAATTTTAATACTCATATAACAACCGTGTTTGTTAAAATTGTTGAGCAGTTCTTCCACTATATCCCGGTAATTTTAGCAAAAGAGCACCATGCATTACATTCAATTTTAGTCACAGATTCTTTAAAATGCGAATTGTTTATAAGTTATTGTATCTGAGGCCCATCAATTATTAGAGCTTTCAATTTTTCGTTACTAAGTGCAGGGGATTTGCTGGACAAGTATTCAAAACAAGGATGATTCTGGTCTAGACTTTTCATCGTTAGACGTTTCATCACCCCTAGTTTAATATGTAACGGAGGTAATATTATTTTCTCGAGGTCGATCAATGCTTCGTTAACTACATTAGCTTCTCCTTAAACTAAAGCATCTCTAGAAGTCCATTTTCTTCTACTCCAGTATTGGTCCTTAGTCCTGCTATCCCAAAGACACAGGAAACAATGATATTTTATATAGCTACCTTTTGTCCCAGGAGAAAGTTCACCATCTTAAAATCATACTTGATGTTTTTTAGCACCAGCGATATTGTTTTAAATTCATCGTTCATTTTTGTAGAATGCCCAATTGCAAGAGCTGTATCCCAGCCTTTCTTTTATTGGAGCAATAAAGTTATTAAGGCTGCAAATATCTGAAAGGACGAACATAAAGAAGTATCGCATGATGTCGAGATTAGGATACTAAGGCAAAGACAAAAATTTATAAATCTATAAGAAAACTTCAGCGACATTATAGGAAAGAATAATTGTTTAGACCAGAGATTCGATCTGAATAGGGTTAGCATAGGATTTCTTGTTTTACTTTTTGGAACGTTAAATATCACACCAATATTTTTGGATCGAAATAAAAAAAAATAAAAGTGTTGAAAAGTACTTTAATTTTGTTCATCCCATCTATCCGCCTGAGGATTAATGCAATAAATATAAAAAAATTGACAAATTTTAATTTGGCGTTAATATTTATCTGGAAAAACTTTTTAAATCATAATTTTTACTTTCGCTTCCCAGAAAATTATAAAAAACAAATTTATTTTAAATCCTGATTTTATTTTAAAATATATAAAATTTATAAATGTATCTTAAATTCTCTGATGTAACTTTTAGATACCACTTTTGTCCAATAGAAATAATTAAGAAGCTGTAAGGTAATTTTTATTCAACTAATTCAAAGGAAATATTTACTAACATTAAGAAATGGATCCTATTGCTGAACCATATTTTCTCTCTGTGATAAAATTTTTTGACTTCCGAAAATATTTGTGGAAAAGAGTGACCTATTTCGAACCATAAACTATTAAGGTTATTACTGCCTTGTTAATAATTTTATTTTTTTTATTTTAGGTATACGAACATCTCGACAACTGAATAATAACAAAAATAACAATGCAGACCAAATGGTACAAAATATCCTTCGATGGCTACAAGACGTGTACGGACAACAGAGCAGAACTAGTAGGTCATTCTTGATCAATGGGCAGCAACAAAATTCTCCCTATGGCTTTGCTTCAGCTAATTTTGGCCAACATGCATGTAAATATTAGTACTAATAATATTAACCATATTAATGCTAAAACATACGTAGGTATATTAGAGGTAACTAAAAAACTTTTCTTCTTTAATAACTTTAATTAAATAACAAATACATAGTAAATTTGTTTCTTACAGAAAAATATAGGGATTAGATAATAGTTTTTCTAACCGATTTAAGCTTTTTCTAAAGATAAAATCAAGAATTCAAGAAAAATGTCATACTTAAGGAACAAAAATTTAGGATCATCCATTCAATATAGGAACTCCACGACTACCGTTTAAGTTACCGATCATATAAAACTATGTGGATGATCTGGAAGACAGTATTCAAACTACACTGGATATCTTCAATGGATTCCATAAACACCTACAATTTACCGTTGAAGTTAAGCAAGAACAAATTGTTCCTTTTTGGCAAATAAGGTGATAAGAACATCAGACAATGAGATCATTTTGGATTGGTATCAGAAACCATCTGACTCTGGAAGATTTATAAATTATTTCTCTTAGCACTCAAAAAACAAAAAAAAAAGACACTGTTGTTGCGATGAAGAACAAAATTTTGCACATTAGCAATGATATTTTTAGACAAAATAATTTAAAAATATTATACAACATATTTTTGTATAAAGGCTATCCTAGTAAAATTCCCAGGCAACTACTCTACAATTCAGTCTTATATGATACATGCAATGCGATAACAGACCAACGCATCCCGCAACGGGATGCGTTATTAACTAACAATATAATCAAGCTGCTGAGTGGAATTCCCAAAATCAAAATAGCTAAATATCACAGCATATCCAATTACAGTTTATTCTCGAAGCGTAAAAACCAGACAACACTAAATCAAAATCATCTCATTTACCAACTTTCTTGTCTCGAATGTGATATGCAGTATATAGGGCAAACAATGCAGTGATTAAAACAAAGAATAACGCAGCACAAAAGTGATTGTAAAACAGAGAAAAATTCTTGTGCATTAGCACACCATTACAAAACAACAAACCACACATTTAATGTATCAGATGTCAAGGTCTTGGATATAGAAAACAACTATAAAAAAGACAATTTCCCAAAATGTACCACATAAACAAAAACAAAAAGTCAATTAATTATAGACAGACACTTGCAAGTTAAGGGAGATTTTATTGTAATATTTTAAAATTCTGATAAAATAAACATATCCAACATGTGGTTCTATAATAAAACTCGTTAGTCCTAATAATACATGTGAAAAAAGAAAATCAGTGCCATTGAGAGCATGAGAATATTGTGAATTATATATAATATACATAATCAAGAAAATGATTTTAAAAAGGCAACGAAAAGAATATAATGATTGATAATTATGAAATTTTAGATTTGTGTTGTATTTACTATTTTCTAGCAGCTGTTTAACAATAAGATTAAGAAGAAGAAGAAGAAGAAGAAGAAGAGATTATTTTTGAAGAAATTGGCAAAATATTTTACAGGAAAATAATGGATAAAATTCTCAACGTTGCTATCATGTAACAAGAAATAGAATAAATATCTAGAACTTAGCCAGAATTAAACAGTATTTTCATCATTATCAATATAAATGGCAGACAATCCGTTGTGGATCTTGGTCTGCTCACAAAGAAGTCGCCTCTCCTGTCGATTCCTGGCACCTTCCCTCCATCTTCTGACTCTTAGAATCTGTAGGTATTCTTCCATATCATCAATCCATCTCCTTTGTGGTTGTCATCTGCTTCTTGTGTCCTCTGGTTTTGAAAATGTTAATCTCTTCGTGTATTCGTGATCTGACATCCTAGCAATGTGTCCAGCCCATCTAAGTCTCTGCACTTTAATGAATTTCTCAATATCTGGATCGGTGTATAACTGATATAGTTCAAAGTTGTATCTTCGAGACCATAGCTTATTTTCATTAACAGGCCCAAAAATCTTTATAATTTTTCTCTCAAAAATACCAATAAGTCTTTCATCATTTTGAGATAAGGTCCACGTTTTGGCCTAGATTAATGTAATTTTTAATTTGTGAAATTATAAAATTTGTTTACTTGTAGTAATGAAAAATAACTTGTTAATGAACCTGACTTTAACAATTAGATTTGTTTATATGATAAAATTTATTGCCTACATCAGTGAATCTATATTATTGAAAATTATTAAATTAATTAATTATTAAATTAGAGAATTATTAAAATTACATTAATTTCGGAACATACTAAAATCCTGTCAAGTTTAGCTGTCTTTAAGTTATCTCCTGTGACATCAGCCATTTGGTCTGTGTCGTCGCTTCAACTGACAACGTGCAAGTACTCGAGCTTAGGAGACATGTAGTCCCTAAAGTAAAATTTTTAATTTTAAATACATCCATTGTCATCGACCTACAGTATCAACATTATCTAATGTAAAATGTGACACTTTACCAACTCATATATATCCATCAACATGGAAGTCTTATAGACACCATATTTATATAGCTAGCAACAAATACTAGGCACTGAAGATGATCCGTAGTGATCGAAAACGTTCTGCCAGAACTTTAAATGTGACGACACTTTTTTAAAAAGTTTTAACTTGTTTGTTTTATACCTAAATACACATTTGTGAAGTGTTTTAACTTCTGTGTTTTTTTAAACGATGGTATACAGCCAATTACGGGGTTTTTCCCATTAATTTTGTATTATTAGTTTATGGATTGCTGCAAAAAGTTTATCACCACCTTTTTTATACATTTCCGAACATATTTCATCGATTCCTGGAGCTTTATTGTCTTTGAGTTTTAGGATAGTATTTGACACTTCTTCTCTTGTTGGGTCTTCACTGTGTAGTTGACGTTGTAGATTTTGTTGATTTTCAATGTTGTAACCTCCTTCAATATCGTGTATATTTAAATGTTAGCTGAAATGTTGTGCTCATCTGTTAAGAACTGAGTGTTTATCATGTAGAATTTCATTTAATCATCATCATTTAATCGTGGTTTAAATTCTCAACGGCTATTTAAGGATTTAAGGATTTATAGTGTTCCCTCGTATTCTCTCTTCTTATGTCGATGGATACTTTTTCCACCCTTCTAGATATCTATACTCTTCTTTTTTTCTCCGTGTATAACCTGCGTCAATGGTTTTTTGATATGCTGCGTTCTTTCTATTTGGGGCCATTTGGCACTCATGATTAAACTAATAATTGCTTTTTCTGACATGGTTTTACCCATGACACTATAAATAACAAGATAGGATCTTCCCGTAGCCCAAAATCGGTCGTGTTCGCGCATGCCGTCATTGGAGAGTAGAATTTGAATTCTTGTTAAAGTTAAATGGGATTTGTATGCATTCTGTGATGAAATTAGTGGACAAAAATAAGTTAAGAAGTTCAATAATTACAATAATTGTACACATAAGAATATCTCCAAACTGACATTTCGAACGTGCAACTCTCCAATGACGTCACGATTTATGCGCAATATCTTATCTTCTTATCATAGTATCATGGTTTTACCCAATATTTTAATCGATTTCCGTAACACAATATCTTGTATATTTGCCCACAGTTAGTTAATGTCTTTTTCAAGTTTTTTTGTCCTTATTTGATCTTCTATTTGCTGTCTGTATACATTTGGAATGTCGGGATCTTTTAGTTTATTAATGTAAAGAGTATTTTATGTATCTATATTAAGTGCTCATAACTCTCTCGTGATATTTTTTCTTAATAAAATGTATGCGGGTATAACGTAAGTGAACACAACGAACTAAACACAGCAGAAGTCAGGTATTTGTGAAAAACAACAACAAAAAAACTAAAGAGAGTAAGAATTGAGAAAATTAAAAAGAACCTGAACAGGAAATATCAATAATTTGCAAAGTAAACAAATCTTGAATATACACATCAAGAAGATGTACAAGGGGGAATAAAAATGCAGGTAATGGAATACAAAAATATAATAAAAGAAGAAGGGAAAGACTGAGAATGGGATGGATATGTCAGATCATAAATATAAGACAAAAGCTAGAAATAAGTCAAAGATGAATTATATTATGGAAGAACTGGATAAAATAGATCAAGTGGAATAAAAATAAGGACTGTGCTTTTGACAGATACAATGAGCTTTGAAAGAAAAGAAAAAGGAGAATAAGTTGAAAACAAAACGGAAAAAGTATGTTAAAAATATTTTTTTTGCTCAGTCATCAAAGTAAAAGGCAAAAAATCTGAAAAAAATGTAAAACTTATATACATTACCAGATAAAATGAAATGCAAAAAAATTAAAAATTCGTTGACCGACTAATAAAGAGTTTTGATAGCAAAAATACCATAATTTACATGGAGTATCTCGAGATAATGGTACATAGTAAATCTAGGTAACCCCAAAAGTATATCTGCATTTCTTTCTCTTGTGCAATATTTTAAACACTAATTACATTATTACTTAATTACTAATTATGTAAAAGCTATTTTTTATTTAAACTAACAGCTGTATTAACAAATTAAAAACGTTAAACTATCTAATTACCAAAAAGGCTTTTATCTACCGCTTATAAGGTTAGTTGTTATTATATTTTAGCTTGTGGCTATAAGGTTTCAACCAACATTTTTCAGTTATAGTCCAGGCATTAACTGTTCTAAAACACCCTTATATGGGTGAATCGTATATGATCCTAATTTTCTGCTTTAATCGCTTTGAAATTGTATTAGACATGACAATTGAACTATGCGTACACTTCAAAAGGTGAGCTAAAAACAATTTATCAAAAAAAAAAGAAAAATTCAAGTTTTTCTCCTTTTCGTTGCTATATCCTCCTGAGACCTGACCTGATCCTTTATATTTTGATTAAATAATAGAATTCGTATGACGTTTAATATAAAAACACATGTAAATTTTTCTAAATTTTTTTTTTTTTTTTGTTAAATGTGAAAAAACAACAAGTCCATTTAAAAG